CTCTCTTAACCCATTGACTGCCAACTACGAGATATCTCGTAGTGTGTGCTGCAATTTCAGATTAATTACAAATGGTTATTAACGTTAAGAATTATTAAAAAGGTTGAATAAAATATTTATATGGTGTAGAAAATATTAATTATCAATTATTGTAAATACCATTACAATATTATATCAGTAACTTAATATTATTATATTTTTAAAAATTTAAGGCAAGTCGCTCTAAATATGTCTGGCAGTCAATGGGTTAACCCCTACACCATTATCACTACTCGTATCTTCCTGCTCTGTTTTTCCAATCATTTGAATGATAATTTGTGAATAATGTACGAGATCAATAAAAATGATAATAGAATTCATGTTTGCAAGAAATTCATATTGGTTCTACCAATAATTCACATCCGATTTTTAATTTTAAATTATCGAGTCGACGTCGTTTTACCAATCGTCGTGCTACCAATAATTTTAAACGATTTATTTTAAGTTTCGACGTTTAAATTTATGAAAGGAAGAAAAACAAGATAAAGTATGAATACTGGTTATAACGAAAACGTTAATTGATTTTAACGCTCTAATACGATTTATATTAAATTATCTTTCGAACTCGAATAAAAACTATAAATGCTAATATTTAGTTGAAATTGTTTTCACGTATAGAAATCTGTTATAATTTTATCTATAGTAAATATAAGGTGAATTAACTAAAATGAGATTAATCAGTACATGTTGCAACCCACACAAACACACACACAGATACAAATATTAATCTTATTTGCATAAAAAGATTGACAAAAAATACAACGATACAAAATTTATGGTTGTACTAATGTTCAGAAAGAAATCTAACATCCACGTAATTTATCTCGAAAGATAAAATAAAGGTGAGATACCATTAAATATAATTCATAGTCATTGTTAAAAAACGAAGGTCAATAATAATATTAATTGCAATTAAACTCTCGATTAAACTATGTTGGATCGAACAAAATAGAATGTTTCTTTCTTGCATGACATTAAACACGAATTATAAATTCGAGATTTGCGTGAAAATGAATTATTAAATGATGAACAAATAGAACGAATAAAAGGAATAATCTTTAATTTTTAAATATCACGTTTAATAAACTTAAAGGAGGGATTTTATGAAAAACGACTTAAAAATAAGATAAATGTGATTTTACCGTTGGAATTTAAAATCTGATTTAGTTCTTAATCCGATTGATTTGGCATATATCGTTTGTCCATACGATCTTCGTTAAGATTAATTATCGTTATAAACTAGAACGTTGAACTCCGAAACACGTTGCTATTATCTCTTACGATCTCAACGGTTGTTGACCATTAGCGTGTCAATTAATCCGATTTTCAAGCCTAATGACATTTTACGAGAGGTAATAAAGTTATCAGATCGATCGATTAAACATCGATATTATTCATTCTTTAATATACAATAATGAGAGGAATGATGTAAAAAAGTAACGTATTGCGTTATACATTTCGCTAACTTAATAATTCATTTTCGGGAGGGGGGCTAATATTATTATCGTACTTGCAACACGTACACACACACACACACACACACACACA